CCCGCTGCTCCCCTCAGCAGTGTACTTCGTTGATCTGCCTGTTCTGTTCCCTGCTCTGTCTCTGGTGAATCCTCTCACCCTCCACATATCTGGCCTATACCCCAGTTCTATATGAATAAATAAATAAATCTTAAAAAAAAAAAAGATAATGTAAACTGGAACTCTGGATTCTAATTGGCAAATAAAATATTAAAGGATACTAGATGGAAAGCCTCTTGAAGCAAAGAGTTGCTCTGGTTTGACCCAGCTCACCCTCTTACATGTCGTTGTGTGACACAACGAATCATTAATGAACTTTCAGAAACTTGAAGCAGTGCTCGTTAAGAAAATTTATAAATAAATCTATAAATTTATATATAAATCTCTTTCAGCACAAATTAATATTCTCCATACAGGTCTGCTGAGTTCAGTCATGTTCATTTTCTCTCCCCTCCACTTAGTTTTTGAGGCCAAAGGCCAGTTTCCACTTCCCACCCACACAGGATCTGGAACAGACTAAGTTCCAGACCCAGAATAAGTGCATTTCATAGAAGCTGGTGCTGGGATTAGCAAGCCTGGTGATTGCAAATGTCCTATGTGCTACAGCAGGCCTGGCCAAGTGGGACCCAGCAGATCCTGCTTCCCCCAGCGTGGCAGCAGCTGACAGGAGTGGCCACCCACACATCAGTGCAGCACGCCACTGTGATCCCGGAGACCATGGCAGGCACGCAGCAGCTGGCTGACTGGAGGTGAGTGCGAGGGCGGGTGTGTCTGAACGGGAGCCTCATCCACCTCTGAGCCAGAGGGCTGCTGGGCTGACCTCTGTTGATTCCCCTGGTTGGTAGAGGACACTTCCAATTAAAGATGCAATGTGGACTATGACTATGGTTTAGTGAGAGGTTGTGTTTCAATAAACAGAAGAGGACACAAGAAAATCAGCCTTGTTAATGGATGGTTAGTTGGTATTTTCAACCCCTAGTTTAGATTCATGATTTGATCACCAGTGTAATTCACTGGACATGGATACCATAATATTTGGTTGGTTCTTAGAATTAAATTCCACTCCGAGGAAGGCCTAAGTAATTCCAGAAAGTGCTCCAAAGGCGCTGGAGACATGGGCACATGGAAACCATGTCTGACCTCCCAGGGAAGGCCTGACAGAGCAGACTTGACCTGGAATCAACCTGACCATGTCAAACTCACTTGTCTGCTGAGTGTGTCTCTCCAGCTAAGTCATATCTTCTAGATCAAAGCCCTCACCACCATCACATCTCCCTCCATCAGTACAGAGCCAAATGGTAACCCTAGGGGGCCCCCTACTTCCCAAAGTCCCCAGGTGTCTCTCCTTCAATCCAAAAATCAGGGTAAGTCACACCCTTCACTCTCTGACCATCTCAGTACCAATCATGGATCCTCCCCTGGAAGTTCCTTTTCTGACTTGAAAAGACTTGAGAATTAAGAGCGCTCATAAAAGGGAGTGGGGTGAAGACATATATCCCCAGTCAAGCCTCAACTTCTTCTCTTCCAGTTTCTGACTAGTAAAAAGAAAGAATGCACAGGATCAGCCTTCACCCCTCTGACCTCCCCCTGACAGCACCCCATGTGAACCCCCATTCATGGGGGGCACTTTCAGACCAAGTAAAACTGGATTCGCGTTACCTGGTGCAGATAACCTACCTTTTATGAGTCTTAGTTTTTTTCTTCAGTAAAGTGGGAGTAATGATACTTCTCTGGATTGTGGGAAGGTTTAAATTTAGTTAAAACACAAAGCACTTGACCGGTATTTAAATAGACCAAACAGATATCTGGTACCTGACAGGCAATAAATAAATCCATTACCTCCCTTCCTCGTTCCCACGGGTTCACGCTCAGCGAGATGGCCTTCCCTCTCCAGCTCCTGAGTTACAGCAATGAAGGAAAACCTGGATGATCCTTTTTTTTTTCTTCTCACCCCATTTTGATCACACATATGTTGAAGTCCCCTTTTCTTTTGTATTTCAGCATTTTTACCTCTTTTAGTTCCAGCAATAACACACAGTCATTCATGCATGTTTTCTTGTGTGTCACTGCCTCCTCACCTCCTACCTGGTTACCACAGCATCCAGTGAAGGCCAGCACACTTTCTTTCCAGTCTCTTCTCCAGAACCATCCCTCATCATAGCTAATAAACAAGAAAAGTACATGCCTGATATAGAAAAAGAATGCCACCTCTCTAGGACAAAGGGCAACAAAATTAAAAAGCCATAATGTCAGTTTGTAAAGTGCAGTAAATGTCCATAGACTACCAACCTCTCCACATGAGTGTCTACCTTCTTTTTGTCCTCAGCCGTTTTCCCAAATTGGAACATTAATTTTATGCTTTCAATATTCAAATGATTCTCTTTTTGTTCTGCATTAGGTTTTAAATGGACTTTATAGGAAAGTCTCTGAATTAATCACCACGTTTACTTTTTTTTTTTTTTTTTTTTGGAAAACAAGCTTTTGAGCTCCTACAATCTCCATCTAAGAGCTTTTGAAACATCACCCAGCTTCAGGATAATAGCTGCCAGTATTTCTATCAACATGTGTCTTACTGCTATTAATTTTGATTTAATACGAAATTCTAGCACATCTAGTCAACCTTTAGTTAATCTAATTATTCATTCAGCAAGCGTGTAATTAATTGATCAGCTGCTACGTGCCTGAGCATGGCGCTAGCCACTGAGAGAATTCAAAAGAACGTTAACACTTCCTAAAGCCAGAAACATATGGCTCCTAGTCATCAAGGCTTGTTCCTCACATAAACTACAATCTCTCCACTTACGGAATGGCATTGCTAAGCTACCCAGCTGTTTCATGGAGTGGAATAAACCTTTGAAGACACTTATGGAAGTTCTCAAATAAAATACACAACAGTCACCTGACTGAGGACTTTAAACGCTACAGGGGCTATTTCTCGCAGGAACTAAGTGACCCTCTCCCTGAAATTCTTCCCACTTGAAATGTCCTTTCTCACCCACCAACAAATTGTGTCCCTAACCCTCCGTCAGAACATCTGGAGACTTAAGAGATGAGCTCTCAGTGAGGCCCCACTCCTGGCAACCAGGAGTCAACCGGAACCAATCGGGGGTTTTAATTTGTCTTATATGTTGCGGAAGAGCCTTCAGGCCACAAGGCGCTCTGTGTTCCTAAAGCCACTCATGGCCCTTGCTCTCCCATCTTCCTTTCAGGAACACGCATGCTCACGGCAGCCATTACAATCCCATCATGCAGCAGCCTGCGCTGTTGACTGGTCATGTGACCCTTCCAGCAGCCCAACCCTTGAACGTGGGCGTGGCCCACGTGATGCGGCAGCAGCCAACCAGCACCACCTCCTCCCGGAAGAGTAAGCAGCACCAGTCTTCTGCGAGGTAGGTGTGAGGCCCTAGTATGGCCTTGGGGTGAGAACCTCAGGAGCTAGGACTTAAAAGCCGCTGGATTAGGGAGTATCTGCATGTGCCGTGCCCCTGGCCAAGGCAGGAAGGAGTGGTTCCTCGCTAGTGCTAGGGTCTCTCAGAGCTGCGCAAATGCCAGCCCACCTGGGATACCAGACATGAGGCTCTGAATCCCTGTGGTCAGCGCCCGGGCCTCCTCTGCGGCGTCTCTAGAAAATAGTCCCCTCTGAAATTTCTGGAAAACACTTACAAAAATGACTTTTTTTTTTTAAAGATATTTATTTGTGCATACCGAGCTGGAGTACAGGCCAGAGGCTCAGGGGCGGCTAGAGGGTTCACCAGAGACAGAGTGGGGAGCAGAACAGGCAGATCGCCGAAGTACACTGCTGAGGGGAGCAGCGGGCGGGTCAGGAGAGGTCTGCCACGCCATGTGGTCACCTCCAGGACAGGCGGGAATCGAACTCATGTGGAAGTGGCTTTAGCTTCTCAGTGCTGTGCTTTAACCCGCCGCGCCACCAGGGAGGGCTCAAAAATGACTTTTTAAAAATAAGTCCCAAAATGTGCTTTTTTTGGAAACAGAAAGTTAACTCATTTTGCTGCTTGCTAAAATGCCAGCAATAGCTTTACGTAATAGGAGACACCTTCCAGAACAGCAAACATGCCCCGGCCTTTTCAGTCCAGTCTCATCTCAAAGCTTCAGAAAGGTAAAGATGGACAGACCGACACATGTGGTGTGATCCCATTTCCGATTTTGGGGGGAAAAGAAAATCTAGCAGGAGGGAAATAAGGTCAGGAGTTGCCAGAGACTGGGGTAGGAGAGGAGGGAATTACTGACTAGGAATAGGGCATGAGGGAACTTTTCAGGGTGAAGAGAACAGTCTAGATTGATGAAGGTGAGCATTAGGTCGCTGTATTTGTCAAAACTAATCAAGCACTTGAAAGGGGCAAATTTAAGGGTATGTAAATTATACCGCCATAAACCTGACTTTAGAAAAAATAGGGTTATCCAAACCCACACATATCCAGATTATGTGACTGTAGAATTGCTGGTCTGTTTCTCCCCAGTGACACTGTCTAGAGGTCCCTGGTTGCTTACTTGGGGTAGACTGATTGCAAGTACAGTATACAAAATGTTGAGTGACTTGGTTTTCGCCTTCCCTGATAGCCAAGTACCAGGACTTAGGACTGATTTTCATTCTTAGAAAGTATTCCAAGTATTCAAAGTTGTCATTCTTCAAGATTCCTCACTTGGGTGTTTCTGACAACTCAGGAAAACTCCTCTTAGTTTCAGGCCAGCCCTGCGAGGCCACCATCTCCATCCTCACCCTCTGTCCTGCCAACCTACAAGTACTGGTCTTCCCCAGGGCTGAGCTTAGCCCTGTGGCTCTGGTTGACCAAGGAGGAGCAGCAGGACCCCTGCAGGCCTTCCAACCTGTTAAGTCCCTCTCTGTCGCTTCCTCGTCGCCCAGCTGGCTTTGTGACACCATTACCAGGGTGTTTGGGATCCAAATAATCAAGTGAAAGTTATGTATTTGTCTATTTTTAAGACCAGTGCCTTAAGCAAAACAGTCCGGAAGACCAGAAGATTCCTTCCTAGCAGGTTGTGCCACCAGTCTTAACTTTCCTTTAGCAAAGCCAAGTGGAGATCTTTTAACTGCATGAGTAGTGAAAAGTGTCATCTTGAAATTGTAGCATATTAACAATAGCAAAAACATAGGTCTATGTTAAGCGCAAACAGTGAAATAATCTTCTTAAAACTTAGCACCATCCCTCAGAAAGGAACAGGCAGTATCTGATACCAGCTAGATAGAGAATTAGTGAAATCCATCTTTCTGGAATGGTTTTCAGCTTCCTGCATCTCTTTAACAGAAAGTGCTAGAATCCCTAAGAACATATCAGAGTCTTCAGTGTTTCACTAGTGTGGGTTTGTCTCGCTATAAATACAGCCATGGTCAACGAGGTTGATGGAGAAAGTGAGGGATTTTTTTCAGTTATCCACACAATACTTACATGGTCATATCTTTCTGCTAGAGGAAGGAGTGGAAGCCAAACTTGAAGGTCAGCAGCATTAGATACTTCACATCCAGAAACTTTTGAGAAACAAGTATTCTAGATTAAGAGAAGGCAAAACCCGCCATTAGCAAGGAAATCAGAGCTTCGTATTGCTCTGAAGAAATGGATAACCATTTCTTCCAGCTCCCTCCAAGACACTATGTTTCAGGGTGTCTGGGAGGGTGACAAAAGGACTCAGGAAATAAGGCCTTTGTCCTGAAGATAGTGCTGTGTTGGGGCAGACACCCCTGAATTCTGGGTTATACTACTGCACCCAAGTGACCAGCCCAGGCCTTGCACACAGCCCCCTCTACCTCTCCTGAGAGTCGTGACTGCCCCCTCTGGCCCATAACAGGCTCAGGAGCCCCAGCGCAGAAGGCCAGGCTGCTGCACCCTCTGTGTGGAAAGAAAGAGTTCTAGGGGACCCGAATTTGCAGCTCCAGCCAAAGTCTGAGGGCCCTGGCATCGCCTTCTAATGGTGTTTCAGCCAAGCTGGTGTTCCCAGACAGGCCCTTGGAAGGAGCTGCCGGGCCTGACCTTCCACTGAGTGTGTGTGTGGCTGTCGTTGCAGAAACGTCTCCACCTGTGAGGTGTCCTCCTCTCAGGCCATCAGCTCCCCTCAGCGGTCCAAGCGCGTCAAGGAGAACACGCCTCCCCGCTGCGCCCTGGTGCACAGCAGCCCGGCCTGCAGCTCCTCCGTCACGTGCGGGTGGGGTGACGGGGCCTCCAGCACCACCAGGGAGCGCCAGCGGCAGACCATTGTCATTCCTGACACCCCCAGCCCCACGGTCAGCGTCATCACCATCAGCAGCGACACAGATGAGGAGGAGGAACAAAAGCACGCCCCCACCAGGTGAGGCTGTGCACTGCAGACGTCCAGGAGGAGCAGGCCTGTGCGCTGCGACCTCCCCCAGAGACAGTTCGGTGGATCCGGGCCCCTTCCTGTCCGTCTTGACAGTCCCCCTCTCCCAGCCGCTGCAGTTCATGTTTTGCCATGTCCGAGAGGCCTAAAGTGGTGTCAAGGGAATGTCAGACTCATTGGCCATCCAGCCAGAATAATTTTGAATCACTTTGGTCTTGAAAAAAATCATTACAGACCCTATACATTGGGGGACGTGGGTCATAAAAATTACGCAGCAGTGCCGTTTCAATCCGTGTAAGCTTAAAGCTCTCCGCCTCAGGCTATTGAAATTATTCCCAATTGGTCAGGATATTTCTCTAACATCGCCTTGGCTCTCTCAGATTTTGAAGTAATTGTCCAATTAATCAGAAGTTTCCCGTGCCTGATTAACCCAATCTTTCAAACTGCCAGTTGGCTCTTTACCCAGAGAGCTTTACTGTTTATTCCAAAGTACACAGAACTCATTTTGCTCCGTGTGCATCCTGGGAGAAGGGGGAGTATTTATTGTATTTGCAAGACTATTGCCCTTGGCGTCAGCGACCCTTTCCGGCGCTCTCCAGCCAGACTTCAAAGCTGGGTTTGTGCTGGGGCTGCGTGATGACCCCTGGATCTTGCAGTCCCACGGCCTTTGATCTCCACAGCTCGTAGACCTGGTCTCAGGAGCCCATGACTGGATGTGAAGCTTAGCAATCACAGTTAGACCTGAATTTTTAATTCCTGATTGGATACATTGTCACTAATGAGTCATCACAAATCCTCTTGATTAGAGAATAAATTCCACACTTGAAATCATTACAGCATGTACAGATAGACTGATTAAAATATTCTCGCTGTAGCTCTTCCTGGCGCCCCTCCCATCTTTACGGTGAAGCTCAGTGTTCTGTTTTAGGTTTCCATGACGCAGCGAGTGTCTGGCTCATTCGAGTGTGTTCCTTCCCCAGTTAACGGCTCAGCCTGGTCTTGAGTGCATTTCAGAGAAGACTGTCACGAAGCGCTCGGGTCTTAGCATCGTGCTGGGGGCCGGGGAGGCTGGGGGCCGGGGGACTGGGCTCCCTGCCTAGGCAGCGCCTCGCTCTCTTTTTCTCATACTCTTACAGGGGAGCCCAGAGTGGACTTGGGCTGCCTGTCTGTGGGGCCTCACCCACGCACTTCCTCTTAACAATACCAGCCTCAGTGGAGTCAGTAGGCCACCCTCCCCAGCGCCTCCTACCCTCCAGCCCAGGAATTTTGTGGGCTCCACAGGTCCTTCCACCAAGAGACAGGCACCTCCCAGCGTGCGGCAGGGTGTGGTGGCTTGTAGCATCCAGCATGAGAAGGACCCAGCAGCCTCACACAGAAGCAGTTTAAAACACTGACCACCAGCCCGATGAGCATCTTGTTCTTGAAGTATGAGGTTTGCATGGACGCTGAATCTCAACCCTCATGTCCAGGAGGGGCGGGAGTAGTGTATCTGACCTGCGTCGTCCTCCCCCAGACAATGGCCAGAACTGAGAATGAGAGGCAAAGTTGAGGTGCCTGGCAGCCTGGCAGGATCTTGGGGCTAGGGCCTGTAGGCAGATGTGCGTGTGAGGGACACCCAGGCATGGAGTTCAGCATGAGAGATGCAAGGGCTCACTGCCCACCCACCCCCCAGGACATTAAAATGCACTGGGGCCATTACCCCAAGTGGGGAGCTGCAGGGAAGGGCCAGAGAGGAGCTGGTCAGGGCCTCGGCTGCCCAGTGGGGACAGGCGTCACAGAATGCGGTCATACTGTTTTCTGATGAGGTCAAATGACTGTTGCCAAAAAAAAAAAAAAAAAAAAAACTGCTTCGGGCCCAAGAGACGGGGAAGTATATTTAAATCCAAGTAGGAGCAAACAGAAACCAGTAAAAACTTTTTTTTTTTTTTTAGAAACCAGTAAACTTTTATAGAGGGAGAAACTAGCGGGTCATGTGGCCACATCATTGTGACTTCACTGCAGAGAGAGAAAAAAGCGGGTGGAGGTGAATTACAGTTTCTTAGGGATCAGAGTTGCACAGACTTTCGCACAGTGCATATTTATGGGTCCCGCTGGTGGGAGATAGCACACCTGCTAGGTGACGCAGGGGTTACATAAACAAGGTAGACATTCTGTGCTGAGGAGGGGTGCAGGGTAATGAGTAAAGTAAGACCTAGCAATCATCGGGGCAACAGTATCAGTCCTATAAAAACCAGCCAGGTCCTGTGGGGATACCACGGGGCAACAGTTTGAGGGAAAAGCAGGGAGGGAGAGAGCTTTCTAAGGTCAGAGGCCTCGCAGGTATGACTCAAGGAGGTGAGGTCACAAATTCATATGGAGTAAGTGGGCAGATCAGGACAGCAGTGAAGCGAAGGTGGGCAGATCAGGACAGCAGTGAAGCGAGCAGCAGACCCCAGAGAAGCAGGCAGTGCAGGAGAACGGGGTTTAGAGTGGAAGGGGTTTGTCAGGGTGACCCCTTCCGTGGGGTGATCAGCTTCGTGTGGGGAGGTGCACGGGGGTTCAAGGGAAAGCATCACTCCAGAGGAAACGGGTGCACAGCAACCCCCAAGTGCAGCAGTCAGGGAGCCTCTCAGCCGCGCGCCTGCTGGAAGCTTCTCCAGCCCAACAGGGCTCCAGTGTCAGCAGTGGTGGCCTTCTCTCCCTGACCCTGGTCCTTGTTGCTCCCAAACCTGCTTTCCCCTGGGCCCAGAGCACCTGAACTCTGACCCCTGAGTCCCCACTTCATCTTTTCTTCGCTGTTCACCCCCAAGTCTGGCCCTGAACCTTCTTGAAATGCCACCTTCTTCCCCTCGGGTGCCTTGGCCTCACCCAGCAGCTGGAACATCGCCAGCCCCTGGGCAGGTGACAGCGCCTCCCGCACCAGTGTCTCGTGGCACCAGCCTGAGTCCCCGCAGTCAGATGACCATAGAGGAATGCCCAGGCACTGGGATTATCCCAACCCCCATGGTGGCTCTGTTGGTTGCCAGAGCAGAGGGATGGTCTGCAGCTCCCACTTGTAAGGAGGACTCCAGGGTCTGGTGCGCCTGGGGACGGCGCGGGCCAGCCGAGAGCAAGTGGGTCGGGGGCAGGGGTCAGAACAGCACTCAGCACGTTTTCACCCGCTCGGTCTGGTGCATCCTGAATGGGGTTTACCAGCCGGTCCTGAGCCCCCAGGACAGGTAAGTGCCTCACCCACGTTGATACGGGCTCTCAGCAGCAGAATTGGGACTTGACTTCAGGCCACTGAAGAAATGGCAGGCTTAGTTACTGGCAAAAATAGCCAAACTCTCTTTGGTCATTAGTTGAACAAATCCACGTTCTGTCTGCCCCTCCTCTGAACCCCACCATGTCTTGGTTGCACCCACCATGTGCAGGGTGCCAGGCCCAGGCTGTGGAGCCCAGACTTTTGTCTGTCAAAGTGCCGGAAATCTTAGATCCCTGTCACTGGCTCCGAGAAGCATTGACTGACTCCCATGCTGAGCGAGCCGTCTCTCCTCCCTGGCATCTTCGTGGACCGGGTTGACAGCTGCGAGTCTTACTGTTCAGACCCCCTGCCAGCACCGCCTCGAGCTGGAATGTCCTCTGTTGAGCCTGCGTGGCCACCTCATGCAATCTTGGGGCACCAGGGTCATTTTTGAAGCATGTGACCAAGTGGCTCATCTCAAGTGACCAACCAGAGATCATTTTTGTCCAGTAGCCATTATTTGTCCTTTGGATTGTCTGGGCGTTGCTGGCAGGCGCCTCATGTGTTACTTAGGTCGCCAGGTACAGCTCCTCCATCACTTCACACATGAAAGCAGCTGCTCAGCACTGCAGGGAATGTTGCCAAGATATAGACTTTACGAAAATCGCTTCCTAAATATCACTCAGTATTTCAGATGCGAATTGCTCTCAAGGAAGTTTACATTAAAAAAAAAAGACTCAACCTGTTCTGCTTTTGACCCCATTGACAACCTAATTTCTAGAAAAGGCATAATAAGGAAACTGCAAAATACCTACTCAAAAGACAGGGGCCCGAAAAACTAACCCTTAGCGGGGGAGAAACACACGTGTACACGTCTGACGTGAGCCGGGAGCAACCCGAGGTTTCAGAACACTGACTCATCGGTGACAGGACGGTTCGTCCAGCAGAATCCAGGCTCCTCAGCGCTCCGCTCCTGACAAGCCAGCGGGTTGAGCAGCCTGGTTAGGGGCTGCATTTTACGAGAGGGCCGCATAGGAAGAGACACCGTACCCACCTCCTGTCCCCTACATGTCACAAAGCCATTGCCAGCGTGCTGCACCTTCCTCGTGGGAGAATGAGTGGCAGGGGTTAGCTGCCACAGGGCAAGGCGGTGCTTCGTTTGCAGAGACGGGAGAAGTGACTGGGTGGGGCCGTTCTGACTTCTCCAGAAGGCGTAGCTTGCACAGGACTGCGGCAGTGTGCTTGCGTGGATGTGTGTACATTCCCGTTCAGAGACACATCCAGGGTGAAGACTACCGTCCGCACGGGACATGCAGCTGAGCTTGCTGTAGATTTGTTTCGTTCTCCCCAATGACTTAAACGGGGAGCAGCTTAACATGTGGGAACGACCACGTTGGCCTGGAGCCATCCGCTTCTTCATCTCTCCCTGGGAAGGGTGGTTAAAGCAACCCAGGTATTCTGGGTGGACGGCAGGATGGGGACAGGAAGCGGTAGCAGCCGTGAAGGACGGGCAGCTCTTGTCCCATCCACTGGGCCCAGCCCACGGCCCCCCGACATGCTCTTGGGAGAGCCAGAGGCGTTTCAGCTAGTTCACAGCTTAAGTACTGGAGGGCGGGAGGGGCGTGTTGTGAGAACTAGTATAGCCTAGTGATGGAGCATGACTTTGGGCTCTGGACATCTCAGTAGCGCCCACCCCACCCACCCCGAGAAGAGAATCTGATTTAAAAATAAGACTAAGGACTCGAGCAAACATTTTGTAAAAGAAGACAGGTGAATGGTCAGCAGCTCT